CTCTCTCTCTCTCTCTCTCTCTCTCATTCACTTCACTCTGTCTGGCTGTGGGTCTCTTCACTGCTGGTGTATTTCAATTGCATATGATGCTCAGCTGGGATTTTCTTCGCTTTAATGAGTTGCTGACATACTTGGTTCTTTCTGTTCACCCAGGAGAGAACAGAAGCTTAAGGAAATACAAGCTATATCTCTTTACCTGCCTGCTCAACCATGTCTGTGGTGTTTGGTGTGACGGCACCTTATAAACCAAACTCACAATCTCATAAATCTAGATGAAGATTCCAGCCAACATCATAGTCATGGTTCAAGGGTCTTTTCTCTGCTGGTTTGAGCTAATTTGTGGCTTTACATTTTCTTGTCTGATGAAATACAATGTGTGTGTTTGTTGTTCAGGCAGAGGAGAGACACGGAAGTATCGAGGAGCGTATGAGACATTTAGAGGGACAGCTGGAGGAGAAGAACCAGGAACTGCTCAGGGTCAACATCACTTTATATCACTAAATAATCTATACTTCCATACTATATACTGTTTTCACAGTATGCTTATTTTGTGCAGAATGTAAATTGTCAGATTGTGGAACATCCAAATTAGCAACTACATTTGCCAAACAATAAAACAGCACGCTGTGTGGAAAACTGTATCCCACAATGGAATGCATTCTAACTTGACCTTCCATTTCCAGTATGATGAATGAACTGAAAGCCAAGTCAACTATGATTATCATCTCCTCCTAACAGAATATTTTATTGGACTGTCAAAAACACAAAATATACGTTTTTACTTCTGAGATGATAACTGGGGACCACTCGCAAATTTAAAACCCTCAGAGACCCAGCGTAGCAGAATTGCAAAGTTTGAATAAAGCATTGCTAATGCTAAACACAATTCAACAAATGTATCTATTTACAAAGCAAGTATTTGACATCTTATATTTATTTTATTTTATTTTATTTTATTTCTATGTGTCTAATAATGGAAAAATGCTTCCATGCTCTGACATTTTGAAACATTTTTCTCCACATTTTTCTCACACAATATAGTCCGAGCCTATTCAATGACAAAGATTATATCACTATTGTCTCATTGATTTAGCTATATATATATATATATATATACAGTATATATATATACAAACATACACACACACTGATATAGCGGCATTAAATGTATATATGTGTATATATATATATATGTATATATATATATATATATATATATATATATATATATATATATATATATATAT